AATTAATATAAATTATCAAAGGGGAAAAAAGCGAAAAACATGTAAACATGGAAAAAAACCACAAAAAGTTGTTCAACCGCTTAACATTAGCACTTGGGTTGCTTTGGTCATTAGCCACCTTGTGCCGCTTTCATCTCTTTAAGGCTCACTTTTGCGAGACGAAAGTGGCCAACCCACTTAATAGGCACATATCTAGCCTTAGCGTAGCGACAAGGTGTTGTTTCAACTTTTCTGAGGGCTTTACCCACCTTTTACAATATTGATGCACTCCCCAACATCGGAACTATACATGAGGCTTTGGTATAACATTCACTGTCTACTAAATCCTAGGTATGGGGGCGCAATAGTAGTTATAGTCGATGTTGGGTCCATAATAGTGACGATGAACGCTCTTTGTGTATTTGAAATTATGGAATCTAGTGTATAACATGTTGTATACAATTAATAATAAAAAATAAGGTACAGCAATAGGGTAAATGGAAAAAAAATAAATGCAAGATTCATCGGTAGGGTGGGCACATGATAAGGAGACCTATAAATGACTAGTTGAATGTCAGCACATGATAAGGAGACCTATAAATGACTAGTTGAATGTCAGCACATGATAAGGAGACCTATAAATGACTAGTTGAATGTCATTGCATTCCATACGAGAACAAACTTAATAAGCACTTAATAAGATGTGATGCTATGTTGTTGACATTTATCTGAATTGTCATGTCATGTTTTTTGTTTCTTTATGTTTAACCATTTTGCCAATCAATTATGAATACACTAATCGAGTGTGCATTTTACTATGAGTATATCTATTTGGCTACTTGTTTTCCTATTTATTTGATACCAAAGAGCCTTGTTGTCTATACTAAGTGTGTGGAGTCTAGATAAATTGTAAAAATGATGATGGTGTTTATGGTTCTCATGTTATATCTATACATTATCATGTGGATAAGTGGATATGATATGTAGAGAAAGTTCTCATGTTACATCTATACCTTATCATTTGAGAATTCAATTCTCATACGAGCCTTTAACATAGTTCAGCCAATACCTTTTCTCACCCTTTTCTTTCTCTAGAAATCATAAATCTTCATTTGATCTTTTTCCAATAATTGTTCATAACCAAACTAAAAAATAGGGCGTGATTTTTCTTTCAAGGGTGAGATTCTTGTAGAGCTCTTTATAAACATTTAATGGAATCTTAAAGCTTGTTGTAATAGTGTCACTGCTTTTTTTTTTTTGCTTTTTGGTATTTAGTAAGCTATTAGTTCCTCAAAGATTTCTTACATTTTAGTAGTGTCTACGTACTTAATCTGTGTTCTCGTTACTAATAAGAGAACAAACTTAAATTGCTCCCTCTTTTTGTTGTAAAGAAAGAGCTGTATTTATTGCTCACTTAAATTCTTAAATGAATTCAGTGGCGAAGCTAGGATTTTTTGTTTGTGTGTGTGTGTGTGGTGGTGGGGGGGAGGGGGTACAACCTTCAAACAATACATCAACTAAAAAGCAACAAAATTGATAATTGATAATAAATTTTCATATATGGAAGATCTTGGAATAGAAGTTTTAAAATATGCTAGAACATATACAATTAAAATTTATTTCAAATAATTACCTTATTTAAAAATTTAAATCTTAGTTATGAGAAATCTAGTTTTTATTATAATGTTTCAAAAGAGATAACTATCTAAATCTTAGGAATCCTTCCAATTTTGTCAATGAGATTAAAGGAAAATTTATGTAGGACGATTATAAGACTAACAATGTTTATGGATCAAAATATTTGGTAATTACATCCATGTGCAAAGAATGAGCGTTATAAAAATTTAGATATTATGAATTGTGGATAAAAGCTAAAATATAGAATAAAAACAAATGCTTTCTTAGATTAGAGGTTGCTCCTCTAGAGGATATACAAAACAAGACAAAATTAGTGGAGATGGTTTAATCATGTACAATGGAGACCTCTTAATGGATCAGTCAGGAAATTAATAAAATAGTTAATGGGTGTAAGACTTAGTTAGAAGTAATTAAGAAGAATAAAATATTAATTAAACTTAGCAAAAGAGATGACACAAGTAGAACATAATGGAAGAATAGGATTTATGAAGCCGACCTTAAATTTTCTAGAATTATGACTTTGTTGTTGTTGTCCCAGATTTTTGTCACCTAAGTCAGTTTCAAAATCTTTCCAAATAACAAATCTCCATCCAAATATGAATGCCTAACAACCCAAATCCTTTATAACAAAAATTATCTTCTTTTGGAACTCAAAAATAACTTTCTAAAATCAACTCTTCTTCTTTGGTTAGCAGAAAGTATATATTTCAAATATTCTTAGATTTCTTAACAAACATAATTACGTAACCATAAATCATTGAGAATTTTAGAATTTGTTTAAAAGAAAAAAGGATGTTATTTCCATTTAAAAAGGATGTTACTGGTTTCTAAATTAAAGCATGAGAACTTTTTTTCATTGATGAATAAAACTATAGGAACTTAGTATGATAATTGTGAAGCCCAATGGCATTGGTAGTAATAATGAGTAGCCCAAATTCAATTGCATTTACTGTAATTGGAGATACAATGACATTCACTATTAATCTGGTGATAGTGGCTAGATTCATATAAGTTTCTTTAGTCAATTGTACTTAACCATGTCGTGAAGCGGACATCAGAACCACACTTTAACCATATTCTTTAGCAAATTAGTAATATAGTCAATGTTTTCCCAAAAATTGGGGGGTGGGGGATGGGGGGTCATGGCCACCCTCAGGCTCTCTACCTCTGCCATTAAGTGAAACTACGGTTGTAAGCAAGGTTTTAAATGTCGGATGTAGGGTTCATGTCGGACGACTGAAATCCATGTCGGATAGCGGAAATCGGGGATATATCGGAGGACATGGACTAAATATCGGATTATCATATCGGGTTGTGCGCATATGTATAATATCATGTCCTAAATATAATCTAAGCATTCCTAAATTCAATATAAGCATACTTTATAAATTGATCTAGAGGCATCGCCGGCAATGGGTGGATTCTGACGTCGCACGGAGGTAGTGTCGGCGACGGGACGTCACAGGGAGACAGTGTCGAGGCTCTTCTTCTTCGTTTGCTCGAGGTCCTCCGAATGAGTCACCGATCACCCTCTTCCCTTTATCCTGATGACGGGATACCCTGCCACCCCCGGGTTCGGTTAGGGTTTGGATTTCAGGACGCAACGGGAGATGGACGACGGGGGTCCGAGATAGAGGTGGGGGAAGGACGTCGTCGTTTATGAAAGGCGTGATCAGTTCACGAATTCGCTGTAGCCCTAATTTTTCTCTTTTTTTTCTATCGGGTTCATAAGAAACCCTGAAACATGAGAACGGGTCAAACAGGTTTGAGTTTTTATCACTAAACCCAAACCTGATAACAAAAACAGATCTAAAAAAAGGGCCATATCGGCCGATTTTTTAAGGCTGGAAAATCGGTCGATATGCTCGATATGGCCCGATATTTCCGATTTGGCCCTGAAAACCGACAAACGAGTTGAAAACGCCCATGTCGTGTCGCTCAAGCCCTCAAACCGACATGTCAGCCGACATGTCAGACATGTCGGCCAACATTTAAAACCTTGGTTGTAAGTTCAACTTTCTATATTGGAAGGTTGGTGATCTGTACCAATTTGAACTTCAGGGAGAAGGTGAATAATATTAATAGTGAAGAATGGAAAATCCTAGCGGGGTGCTAGGTAGGTGGATATAATCAGGTTGTCTAAAGTTGAACTTGAATGATATTTATAGTGAAGTATGGAAAATCCTAGCAGGGTCCTAGGTACGTGGATATAGTCAAATTGAGGGGTGAAACACCTTTCACATACGTGTGTTAATGTTTGGTGAACAGTACTTTGAACTCCAATATCTGCACTCAAGTAAACACATATGTTACAAAAGATCTTCCAAAATTTATTGTATTTTCCAACTATGCTTCCACATCTTCCAATGGGTAGAATTACAAAAGAAAGTAAAACAATATCAGTGTTTCTTCCTCCTTTATTTGTTCTACATCTCTTATCACGTCTTATATGTGCCTCCATTTAAAGTACTTGTAAAGTTCATTTTATCTGGCATCAACCCGCTTCATCCACCCGCCCGCCATGGTTTACATATACCAATTTACTAACTACAAAACTGAATTAACTGGAGAAAACATGTATACTAGAAGAGGCTCCACTAGTGTTAAGTTGTAAAAGACCTAAGGGAACTCATCCTGAAAAAATAGTTGTTAGAGGGAGGAAACCCAAACATAATAAATTTCTCATTTAGTCAATGTGGGATTAGATGGACCCTAACATATTGCCATCCTTCCGCAGTTCAGACATCCACATGGCCGAGCTTTGCACTAGTCTACTCCTGATCAAACACTTCAAATCCTGGCATTCCCTCTTCTGCATTGCACGGGATTTGTACCACTGAACACAGCAATGTTATCAGCACCCACATTGCTCACTTGCAACCAGGAAGATGAGGTTATCTCTGATAACATTTATAAGAGATCTAGGAGAATTCACCCCTAAAAGCCAGCTATTAGAAGTAGGGAACTGAGATCTCAGCTATTAGAAGCAGGGAACTGAAATCTCTGATACGTCACACCTCATTCAGTCACTGTAGGATTGAATGCATCCTAAAATAAGGTTGAGGATGAATATCTATAGATGGGGTCTTGGACGCAAGAAGATAGCCTCCTCCTCTTTAGAAAACTGATACAGTTATAACTGGATATCTCAGAACTTTATAAAATAATCCAAAATCATAAAACCATCAAATCCTATGCAATCAGAAAAAAAAGAGCATTCAACATAGCTGCTGTCGTATAAACTTCAAATTTCAGCTAACTGACTCGTTACAAAATCATCAAGAGCTTTGTCTTCTATTCCACGTTGGACAAAACATCATAAAAGGCTCAACATCTATGATAAATTCAAGGGAAAATAACAAAACCTCAAAAAAAAAACAAACCTTTTCGATCCGCGATCGCTTGTTCACTAGAAACCAACCGAGCGGCGATCGATGGCGAATCGTCGCCGCCGGAGCTCGACTGGTCCTCCG